ATATATTATGTTGATTGTGTTTTCTTTAATTCATTTTAATATATTAATTCTTGTTTGTAAATACTAGAGTTAAAATTTTGCTTATCATTATATAAATTGATGTAAAGTTCATTTAGATTTTTTTTAAAACAATATCATAATATATAAGCTATTTATATATTTTATTATAGATATAAATTTTTTTTACGTAATCTATAAAGAATCAAAAATATTTATATATATATATATATATATATATACTTATATAGCATCATATATATATATATATATATAATAATGATTAATAGAGAAATAGATATTAATTTAAATATTGTTATGACTAGTAAGTTATTATAATAATATTTGTTAATTAATATATTCATGTACGAGAAGAGTAAAGATTTGAATTTATTTGTAATTGGAGGTTTAACTTTAGATATTTAAATGAGTATATATTTGATCAAAGTGAGATATCCTTGAATAATTAAAGTTATGATAAAACTCATTTATCCCGACTAGTCACTATAGATCTATTATTTAGTTACTTATTTGATTTTATATGATATATATTATCACTCTTTTTATGTTTCTTGTTTTCTTTGTTTTTCTTTTTCTTTTAAAAAAATATAATTTTAAATTAATTAAATAGATGAATACACCCAATATTAGTCCTTTCATCGTACTAGTACATGTCATTTTCCTTGGATTACAATGGACAATGAATACACAAAACAACATCAACATTTTTAAAGGACAAGGCTCTTCAATAATAACACTTCCAAACAATCCAACACCAATCATCTTTGATGGTCCTGTGATTATCATGTTCACTCTTCCGCCAACAAATCATGTTAACCCACTATATAATATATAGCATATGTTATTATAAAATAGCATAAGAAAGATGATGGGAGGTTTTAGATAATAAATAAGAAAATACTTTTCCTTTTTTTCTAGGATAACTATGGTAAAAATGCTAGTGGTAATGACTTGTGATCAAATGTATGTGTAATAAATAAACTTATCTTTTCTTTATCTCAATTTACTTCAATGTTATAGGATGATTAATTTAAATAATTATAGTTCATATTTAAAAAATGGTGTTACAATGTGAGGTTATGTGAGTTTGTATTTGTTTTTAAAAATATGAGAATACAACCAAAATTTAATATAAAAAAAAAACTTAAGATAATTGAACCAATTTGAGTGAGAAAGAGGTGGGTCTTAGTAAATCCCAATAATTGGATTTTTTGCAAGTTCATGCTAAGTGTGAGATTCTCCACATTATGTACAAGACTATCATAGAAATAGAGTTAAACATTGTTCCTTTAACACTAAGCATGGAAGTGTCCATGCTAAGCATGAGAGCCATGAAAAGTACCAATGATTTTAGGGCTAAGTGCATTTCTATGCTAAGCATGTTTGGTCTTGCCAAGCATCATTTAATGCTAAGTTTTTATGAACTTTGGCACTATATGTGGAAGTGTCTCCATCATAAGCATGAGGACCACACTAAGCTCTAGTGATTTTGACACTAAACACAAATTTGTTTGCATTAAACATGAAAGACACATAAAGCAAGGGTTGTTCTTTGTACTTGTGGTACTAAGCATGGAATGTCTCATGTTAAGTGTGGCTCCCATAAACAAAAAAATTGACATTTAAATTAATCAAGAGATTTGAGCTTTAATTTTTATAATGAAACATGAGATATGGGAATATTTGAGTTATTGAAAACTTGAGGTGCATCCTAAGAGGGAATCACTCTAGAGGAATGAAATCCATTATGAGAGCAATCAAATTTAAGTAATGAGAATTGAGATATTGACAATTGTATGGGACATATTGATATGTGATATGCATAAAACTTTAGTTTCTTAGATATCGGTGTTGAATCCTATGTCAGAGATGCCACTTTAAAGATCTTTGGATCTAGACCTTGAGGGTCAACTTGGTTTGGGAATACCAAACTAACTCTTGGTGAGTATAAGTGGACCTATAGTGACTTTGTTGTTGATCAAACTTAGGCATGGAAACAGGGTGGGGCAGGGGCGGGTTTTACGTTCCCCACCCCCGCCCCCGCAAATTTAAACCGCCCCCGCCCCCGATACCCGCCGGGGATAAAATCTAGGTCCCCA